CCCCCCCTTGAAATGTGAAGCCCAAGGTGGAAAAAGAAATTGGATAAATATTTGTGAGGAAAGTAGTGTGAGAATACATCTGAAGTTACCACTGAAGGTTTTAGCTGGTCAAATTAACAGACTGAATCAGGCCTAAATGAAAAGACAGAAAGTTGCAGATGTTCTTTGAAGTGCAAACAGTTGCAAAAAGAGGGAGTCCAAAATGTGTAAATGGCAACAGTGTTGAAATAAAAGTAGTCTCTGCAATAATTATTTTCAAATAAGTAGCATTAATCTAAGTATAAAGATTATTTTGTATTTATGTATAATAAGATTTTTAAAAAAATACTAAACTACATACATTAGAAGTAAACTATATAGATATTTAATTCACTATAAGATCTTCCAGTATCTCAAAAGTTGCAAACACAAGTTATTTTATAATGTAAATGTAGAAGGTGTAGAAGATTGGGCTAAATCTGTGTTAATTTTGACTCTTGTAAACTGTTGTTGAAAGAATTTTTTTTTCTTTAAAACTACTTAAAAATTCTGGTGGCTTCAATTATGGATGAAACAGAATTTACTTCATTTACAACAGATTGAGATTCTGAGGTTTATACAGGATGAAAGGAAGAACGATTATAAGATAATTCAAAATTATAGAAAGGTTTGGGAAGCATACTGTTCTTAGATGGAAAGGTTCAATATTTAAAGATGCCACTTTTCTCCAATTTTTTTTGGTCAGTCATTTATCTTAATAAATGCAATTATAAATAAATGAATAGGAAAGGTGATACATTAAAAAAATTGAGTGGTATGCCATCATAGATCCAGGCTCTTAGGGGAGGGTAAACTGAACATCATTTATCTGGCTTTAGCTTTACTGCGAATTTATGAGTCTTTTCTGGGAACATCAGTGGGCAAGGCCAAGTACAAGCTCTGGAAACCTTGCAGGGTTGTAATACGGTCCAGGTACCAGACATCTGGTGGGAGTATGTCAGAAGGAATGGGGTGCTTCTTTAGTTTTTTGTGCTTCTAAAGTCACCCTGGCCAAACTCAGAAGTCAGTCAAGTTAGAACATGGCTATGGGGTGAAATGACCCAGGCAGCAGGCACTTCATCAGCGCAGGCTCACTTGGGCATAGTTAAGTTTAAAAGATGCTCCAGCAGCCGAGGGCAGCGCCGATGGTAGCTCTGAGTGCTGTGAGGCATACTCTTCCCATCAGGACAGGTTCCCTCCAGAGCTCATGCACAGCTACTTAATGTCATCTTCTCCATTTTCCTGTGTTGGATCTTCTGTTTTCTATAGCACATGTTTTTCTGTTTTTGGTTTGTTAAAAATATACCATAAACAAAATCAAAGCACAAATAAGCTGGGAAGAAACACTTGCAATGTACAGGTCAAATAAAAGGTTGAGATTGTAGCTCTTAGAATTTATTAAGACTAAAACAGATATTCCATTTACAAAAGGATAAAGGGAATAAGGGATTTGTAGAAAAGCAAATAGCCAACAAACAGGAAAAAGTTCAACACAGAGGAAATGTAATTTAAAATATGAATAAGATTTTAAAGTTTTTGAAGGAATGATAATGCCTATATTGGCATATAGGCACACTCACATGCTACTCTTGCTACTGTAAATTGCTAAACCCTTTCTGGAGAGCATTTTGACCATATATGTGAAAAAACAAACAAATAAAAATGTTCATACTCCTTTATTCATCAACTTACTAAAAAAAAGTACTGTAGTAATCTTCATTTTGGAGAGTTTCTCTCACTCTGAAAGTCTCTTATTCACAGTAGTGTATTTAGTAACAAGTACTAATAGTTATTCATTTATATTGCCCTATTTTAAAAAATATTTCTTTGTAATTTCAGTCCTACAAGATTATCAATTTTGCCCCCAGTTTACTTCGGATTATAGTCTCTGACCATGTGGAATTCCCAGTGCGTCAGGCAGGTGAGTTGGGTTTGTATCCTTTATAAATTTATTTGTGGTGAAAGGAAAGTAAGAGTTTTATTTTAATTCTAAATATCTGTGATTTCTTGAAGAAAAAAAAAGGAAGTGCACAAGAAGTGTTTCTAATGGCTTAAAAATCACTTTCCTTTTCCGTGGAAACTTAGAGGTAGACACTGAGCTATTAAATTTTCCTTAGTTTTTTCTTTCTACTTTTCTTTTTTCTTTTTACTTTCTTCCTTGCTACTATACCTTGCCGTTTTCCCCCCATCCTTCCCAATTTTAATAGCTTCATCTCCCTACTTTTTTATCATTCCTGGTGGCTTAGCCATTGGGCGCACAGATTAATACCATGAATTTATATATGTGAATTTGAGCTCCATTCATGCGTCAGATCATAGAGGTAAAGTATTACACAGGTGTCCTAACCACACGATTGGGGAGCAGGACTTTTGTTTTAAACTTAAAGGTAAATAGACTTACCTTTAAGTCTATTGGACCTGTGGTAATTCCATGGTGTTGTGTATTGGTTTATTTTGTTTTATTTTATTTTTTGCTTTTTTAAAAAAAATAAAAAATCTTTATTGATTTCAGAGAGAGGAAAGGAGAGGGAGAGAGAGAGAGATAGAAACATCAATGATGAGAGAGTCATTGATCGGCTGCCTCCTGCATGCCCCTGACTGGGGATCAAGCCTGCAACCTGGGCCTGTGCCCTGACAGGGAATCGAACTGTGATCCCCTGGATCCTAGGTCGATGCTCAACCACTGAGCCATGCCCAGCTGGGCAATTTTTTGCTTTTTTAATAAGATGGTCATTAGAGCCCAAAAGGTAAAAAAAATGGAAAAAGTCTTGGAGTACCATGATTCCTAAAAAGAGAGTAACTTCAACATAGAGGGGGTAAAATAATAATAGCTAATTTAAAAATAAGTAGTTAAAAAGGCTTTTTAAAGTTATTATTTAACTGACATATACTCATTGTACATAATTTGGGCAATAGAGAAGAATACCAAGAAGAAAGTAAAAAATTACTCAGCATTCACCACTCAGAAATGAGCATCATTAACACCTTTGCATGTATTTGGGTAGAGGGATTGATGAACAGTTTTACAGAAATGGGGTTGTACTCTACATGCTGATAAAAGTATTTAATTTTACTTGAAATAATAATGAAAAAGTAAGGGATCATTAGGCTTTGGGAAAATACTTATAACTATATGTATGATTTCCTGAAAGATGCCTTTGTAGTTAAGAAAAATCTATAGAAAAACATTTGAAATATGTATTGAAATATTTGTAAGACTTCTATGTATGTTTTTTGGAATGATTGCTCTCAGTTTATTTAATCTTTGTTTTATAAAATAGGCTGTTCTGAAGCCACATTTTGCTAAATGGAACCTATTTTAATAACCTAAGTATAGATACGGCCATTGTGAATTTCATATGGAAGCTTTGTGGAAACAGTACTTTTAAAGATCTTAAAGCGACTTATTAAGCTAATATACCTTTATATGACATATAAACATTACAGAAACACAGAATCTATATGTTAGATTGCTCTTAATCCCACTCCCAAATTAGCTGCCATCAACTTTGGTGCATGGTTCTCCAAGCCTTTTCCCCCCCGTAGATATGCTGGCTTTAAAAAGTAGCAAAAATCTGTTTATATTACATATGCCATTTTATAATTTCCTTTTTTTCATTTAACCATGTACCTTGGGGGATTGTTCCATGTCAGTGCATATGCATATACTTTATAACAATTATTTAGTATTTCTTTGTACAGAACTGCTGTGGTTTATTTAAACAGTTTGATGTTAATAAACATTTCCTTTATCAATCCTTTTTGTTATTGTTAGAGAGGCAATGCTCAAATGAGCATCCTTGCACATATATTCCTGGATACTTGTGGGAATATTTTCTTAGAATACATTACAAGAATTGGAAATGCTAGGTCTATGGATCTTAATGATGTGAACATTTAGAACTTTGAACCTTATTGCCACGTTGCTTTTGCTTGCGTTTTCTAGCAACAGTGCATTAGAATGCTAGGTTCCCCATATGATGACAAAACCATTTAAATCCCTATAGAACTAGTCTTGAAAATAAAAAGCAAACTTCAGACAACAAAGATACATACGTGGTAAAATCATGGACTTACAATTCAGTCATTGAATGCTGTTAGTTTTATAACTAGAAAACATTTTTATTATGGGGCACCACACGAGATGGCCTATAGAAAAGGCACAGTGTAAGATTTATAACTGTAAGATTTTCCATTTTTGCTGGCTGTCATGTTTAACATTGAAGGGCTTAGCTTTTTTTCTGTAAAGCTGAATTAAAGTCATCTTTTTGGTACTGCTACATTAACATTTTTTACCCCCTCTAACTTAGCTGCCATTTACTTGAAGAACATGGTGACACAGTACTGGCCAGACCGAGAACCTCCCCCGGGAGAAGCAATATTTCCATTCAACATTCACGAAAATGACCGCCAGCAAATACGTGATAACATTGTGGAAGGGATAATTCGATCTCCAGATTTAGTGAGGTACATTATACTGTATTTTCCTACTACTAGGAAGCACAAAAGCTATGGACAGGGGGAAGTTGGATTTAATCATCAGCCTCAAGTTTGGTTTTTCAAAGAGGTAAACTAATGAAGACGGACACTCAATGAATATTGTTTTACTGATTTGTCTTGCGTTTGTAATCCTTTGCAATTATTTTGGGAAAGATTTAGTTGCTTTAAGTTGCCACAAAAAAGAGTTAAGGCAAAAATCGCACTTAACTAAAATTGTTGCATAAATCCCTGCTGTGTAAATAACTTATGCTCTTAGTTACGATCTCTTGACTTTTTCCCGTCTGCTTTCCTTTTTCCTGACACAGGGAAATTGACTTCTGGGAGTTTTAACCTACCACATTTCTTAACACTTGACCTATCTTTTGATTCATTTTTCTGACCCGAGTCCCTCTGCCTTTGGAGGAGACAGGACAGAGTGGTCCGTGGTTTTTCACGTTCAGCTTAGGTGCCATGGAGCAGTGCTGCCAGGAGCCCTCTCTGCGGCCACGGGAATCTCCTGTAGCTGCGCCGTCCGGGGTTTAGCCGCGCGGTGTAAGTGGTATTGAGTGTGTGAGACGTGGCTCTTCTAACTGAGGAGCCGAATTTTTAATTTAACTTTGATAAATTCAAAGTGTGCACATGTAGCTGGTGGCTGCCCCTGTTATTGGACCTCACGGCTGTAGAGTCATAAGCATTTTGCAGTCTTAAAATAGGAGAAACAAACTCTTTTCAACATGAACTAGTAATTAGATTTCTTTTGAAAATGGGGGAGGGAAATAGATGAAGCCAAGGTAGGGGAATGAAATTGTTTAATGTCAAGAGATTAGATATCACTTTCCCCCGAGTGTCTAAGGCACATTATGACATAAGCAGGAGAAAGGGGAAGAAAGTGTGAGGAAAGAGAAGAAACGTTGAACTCCTCTTTGTTCAGTTATTTTGTCTGTTTAAAGGAGAAAATGGGTGTCCTGATTAAAGAAAATCACCATTATTCGCATTGGTTGTCCAAATGCCAACCTAGGCAGTGGCTCCTCTGATGTACCATCATGTATCCATTTCTTGTCAGAATCTTTGCATTTTCAGGTGGCCCTGAGTCTTGCAGTGCTTCTACATAGCGATGTATGGAAGGATGGCTGTTCATAGCCGGCCTCTGCTTGGTTGCAGTGAGAAAGGGTTTGGAGGGTCAGCCTGAAGATGAAATTTGAAAAAGTGAAGTTTCAGTTTCGTTGCATGCAGATTACACTTACTAGTTGTTTAGGAACAGTTGCTGGTGGCACAAGGGGAGACCTTTATTTTTATAATGAGACGGTTCTTTGTGGCTTTGCTGCTTTTATGTCCTGAAGCCTTGACTAATCATTTTTGAAGAAATATTTTTAAAGTTCATTTAAGAGTATTGCAAAGAAAATTTTTCAAATAGGTTTGGTAACATAAGGAAAAGGCATTTTGTTTGTTTCATTTCAGTGAATCTAAGTTATTGACTGTTCAACTCAACACACGCTTTTAATTTTTTTCACTGTAGAATTCTAATTTAGCCAGGCTCCCTTTCTAACCATTTACAAATGACCATGTAAGGACATATTAATAGTTTATAGAAGAGAACTTTTTCCTCTCATTTTCTTTTTAATAACAATTACAGTTGGGATCCTGTTGAGGAAATGATTACTGACCTAAGTGTTATGACATCACATCTTTTATTTTTTTACTTTGTGGTTTTATTGAAAGGATTCCTCTTTTTCTGTTTTTCCTGTGGCTTTTTTTCTTTATATCTTCAGAAATAGCTCTTAGATTTCCTCTTCAGAAATTGTCAGCTTGTCTCTTGTACACAAAGCACAAACTTTAGTATTTCAGGAAGCTTTGCTGGGCGCAGCGTTCGGTGTTGGTTGTTAACTGGAAGTAGATGCTTCCAGGTTTTGGCTCCCAGACGTGCTTCCCGTCACTGTGTAGGCCTCCGTTGTACTCTGACCATTTTTGGGCTAAGTTTGTCCACTTAAAGGGCACAATACTTTATTTGTTTTGTTTTCCTCTTAGGATGTGATAGCCAAAATATAAAATATAACTAGCTGGGAAATTTTGTAGAGCTAAATTCATAGTTTTTTTTTTTTTTTTTGAAAAATTTTAATGAATTTATTTTAAATTTATTTTTTCCCAAAACTGTATTTAGGATAAGACTGTTTGAAAGGTTTTATTTATTTATTTATTTATTTTTAAAGAGATGACTTGTTCTCTTTATTTTCAATAAGTTGAGCCACTGAGAAGGTTTGTCTCAGTAGTACTGTTCTTTGTCTTCCCACCCCAGATAGATAACTATATAGTGTAGGTAAATAGGAGTTAGAGTGCTTGTATGTAAAATACTAGGGGTCTTTGAAACCTGATATTTATTAACTACTTAGACTTTCGACTTTTCTCCCCCCACCTTATAGAGTCCAGTTAACAATGTGTCTCCGTGCCATCATTAAATATGATTTCCCCGGTCACTGGCCAGCAGTAGTTGACAAGATAGACTACTACTTGCAGTCACAGAGCAGCGGAAGCTGGCTTGGCAGTTTATTATGCCTGTATCAACTGGTGAAGACATATGAGTAAGTCGATTTCCACCGGCTGACAGTATCAGCCTTGCGTTACTTCGAGTTAACTTGCATAGAGGGGTCTGCTGTGGGTGTGCTGGGGAATCGGGTTAATTTGGCAAGTGGTGGCTGAGCACAATTACACTTGTTTATTTACGGCAGTCGTTTAAAGAACCTTTAATCTGCAAGTGTACATTGCTGATCTCTGAGGTGGTGATAGGATGTGAGAATGCTGTGCTTTTCAAAAATTATTTGTTAGTTTCAGAGGACCATTTATTAATAGCTTTCCTTGGAAACTTTGATATACAGGTATCTTAACATTTGTCTTCAAGTGAGCACATTATTTATTAAGTACACCAAACATTTAACTTTTTGGATGCAAAATAGGAAATATTAAAGCTTCTTTGCTAGTGATTTTCTTTTCCATAAAAGTTGCCTGGGAGGCGGGAGACGAGTGTCACATTTATTAGCACTGCTTTCTGGTTTCTAAGAGGACTGCTACTTGTACATGCAAAGTCCTGTAGTTCTTTTTACAAGCTAGTGAGTTCATACTCTGTAGAGCTTTTAGAAGATATTTTAGATTTGTAGAAGTTGAAGTGACCTAAGAGCACATAAGTTTGTGAACTGTTTTAACTTCTCAATTTAGGGTAGTATAAAAGGAAATGTTTTCCCCCACATTATTTGCTATATAATAGGAATGTCTATTTAAACAGACATATCAACTTGTATTTTATAGGAAGAACTGTGGTATAATAAAAATTAATTTAAGTTGGAGGAAAATTTATTTAGGAAAGTCACAAAATAGTCTTGGATTCTTTTGTTATTTTATTTTTTAATTTAATCCTTACCTGAGGATATTTTTTCCATTGCTTTTCAGAGAGTGGAAGGGAGAGAGAGAAACGTCGATGTGAGAGAGACACATCTATTGGTTGCCTCCTGCACCCGCCCCGACTAGGGTGGGGGATTGAGCCTGCAACCGAGGTACATGCCCTTGTCTGGAATCGAACCCGGGACCCTTCAGTCTGCTGGCCTGGCTGACGCTCTAAACCCTGAGCAAACTGGCTAGGGCAGTCATGGGTTCTTCTTCTTCTTCTTCTTTTTTTTTTTTTTAAATCAAACATTTTTATTGATTTCAGAGAAAGGAAGGGAGAGAGAGACAAAAACATCAGTGATGAGAGAGTCATCGATCGGCTGCCTCTTGCACGCCCCCTGCTGGGGATTGAGTCCGAAACCCAGGCATGTGCCCTGACTGGGAATCAAACCTCAATTTCCTGGATCATAGGTTGATGCTCAACCACTGAGCCATGCCAGCCGGGCAGTTCTTTTAAACTAGTCTAATTATTTCTGAAAGATTTTCAGTGTTCTTTCTAAAACAAGGATGTGCTCTTTTAAAGTTCTTTCAAGTTTATTCTAACAGTCCAAACAGAAAATGTAAGCCAATGGTTGGGATGTTTTTGCTTTGTTAGTTTTATATAGTTTAAAAATATATATATATATTTGTTTATTATTTATACTTCTTTTGTAAGGGGGGGTGGAAATTATTTTTCTTTTTTTTGTCTTTGCTCATGTAGATATAAGAAAGCAGAGGAAAGAGAACCTCTTATAGCAGCAATGCAAATATTTCTGCCTCGTGTTCAGCAACAAATTATGCAGCTTCTTCCTGATTCCTCACATTATTCTGTTTTACTACAGAAACAGATTCTGAAAATCTTTTATGCACTTGTTCAGGTAAGTTTCTGTTGGAGAAGATGAATATGGGGCCTTGCTTTCCTGCCTGACACATGGAAAGTGCTCAGTAAGCGTCAGTTATTGTCAAAAATTATTATATAGTCTCACATATGTTTCTTTAAAAAAATGCTTATGAGAGAACTGGCTCACAGAAATTAACTTGATTGGCCAAAGTCATCAGAGTGGCAGAGCTGAGATTCAGTGTCCATGTGCCTTTTTCTCCAGTGTCTGAAGTGCTGGGTCTGGAAGAACCGGGGTAGTGAATGGCCCCAGAAACCGGTTACTTGGTTGATCTGTCCATAGCCTTCTGCCTGTAGATTAGTTATGATTGTGGGAGAAGAGGAGGGAAGAGAAGACACTCCCTCTTTATCAGGAAATCATACTGATGGGAGTTTGTTTGCATTTGACCTACTTTAAAACTAACAAAGAAGATTTAGTGCTCTCTTCAGGTGAGGGGTAAAAAAAAAGTGACCTCGTCACCCTCCCCCAACCCTCTGTTCCCCATCTCCAGCCCAGACTCCCCAAACTCCCCACTGCACTTAGAACAGAGTGTGAACTTCCCAGCACGGCCTGTAAGCCCTTCGTCTCTCCACCTTTCACCTTTCTCACCTTTCTCACCTTTGTGCCTCACACTCCAGCGGAACTGAAATTCGTTCAGCTTCGTGAACGGGCCGTGGCCTCTCTTCCTTCCGAGCCTCTAAAAGACTGCGTTTCTGCCTGGCCCCTGCCTCCCCGTCGTACCCTGGCCGATTTGTGCCCTTTCTCCAGGTGTCGGCTTGCAGTCCTCCTTCCAGAAAGTTGTTCCTGATGGCACCCGGCTGGACGAGGCGGTCCTCCTGGGTGCCTTTGTTGATACTGTGCCGCTCTCATCTGTACCCCCGTAACCCCACAGGTTAACTCCTGGCGTACAGGTGCTTTTTCCCTCAGCTAGATGCTTTCCCCTCAGCGAGAGTGGGAGGTGAGGGACTGTGTCCCCTCATCACTGCGTCCTTAGCGTGCAGCAGGCTTCGGGTTGCCTGCATGCAGAGACGGTGCTGCCTCGTCTCCCTTTCCTCACGTGTAGCGAGGGGACCCACAGTGACACAGGGGCTATGTGTTATGCCAGCGGAGAGGAAAGTCGTTGAAAAAATGTTTCAAGAGGTTTTCATTAAAGTGGTTAAAATGAGTTCTCAGCACCAAATAGGTAATTATGTGAGATGATAGAGGTGATCTTACTGTGCTAATCATTTCTCAATATATACACACGTATCAGAGCCTCACAGTGTGTGCCTTAAGTGTATCCACACAACGCTATATGTCAGTTATATCTCAATAAAGTTGGGAAAACTGGTTGAAGTGAAAAGTTTGAAAAAGGGGTAAATGGTAAAGGGGTAAATGGTAAATGGTAAAGGGGTGAATGGTAAAAATCACTTACATGGAATCTAATGCTGAATAAATGAGACCTTACTGTATTAAAAATTTTGTTTTTCACTTAAAAAAAGTAGCTCCGAGGAAACAATTCATGGCATGTATACTACTGGATTTTAAAATTTTAATTTGCATGCATATGTTTATAGTCTGTTTTAAACTTGAGGTTGAACCATATGAATTACTGTTTTCATGGTCAAATGTTAGCCATTTATGTGTTTCTACCTCCCAGTGTGGATGAGATTGCTGACTTTTGGAGGAGGGGGAGTGACTGCTTGATGGCCATGTTTTTTTGTTCCCAGTATGCGTTGCCTCTTCAGCTGGTGAGTAACCAGACCATGACAGCGTGGATGGAGATCTTTCGAACTATTATTGACAGGACGGTTCCTCCTGTAAGAAAGAGCTTCTGTTCCTAAGAAAAATTGGGAAAACGTGGGTTTGGGGTATTTGTGGTAGACTGATTTGTGATCTTATCCTATTTGGGGGAAAAAATGTAGTAAAAATAATTAATAGTACATAAGCATTTTGGGAATGTTCCTGTAAGCGAAACTAATAAAATAATTCTATTTAATCCTACTAAACTGATAAAAAAAATTTTTGAAAACTGGTATTTATTTCTCTAGCCTTTTTTTCTCTGTGTCTATATACAACCACATTTTATTTATAAAAATGGTATATGTAGGTACTGATTTGAAATTTATTTTTCACTTAAAATCTTTTATAAATATTTTTTATGATTATGAGTGTTTTTACATTCTGTCATTTTCATTGAATGCTTCATTTGCCGGATATTTAGGTTGTTTTAGTTTTTTAATGTTTTAATTGTAAGGATGTAGTTAAAATTTTATAAACATACATGATTATTTTCTTTGGATAGACTCCTAGAAGTGTTTTAAGACTTTGACAGATCTTGCAAAGTGCTTCCCAGAAACATTGCCCTGGCTTATACTTTAATAAGCGGTGACTGAGAATATTTTACATAAAAGCCTAAGTTTGCCAGTTTGATAGGTGAAAGATGGCATCTTATTTTTATCTGCAATAAATGATGCTATAGTTCACTTATTAAATTAACTGAAATAGCTAATAAAATAAAATTAAAATATATCAAGTATTTTAAGATTTAAGCTTGTCTTTAAATACACAGTTTTTTTCCTTAGTCAAAGCTCATGACAAATTATAATTAAGTTTAATTTATAAACATAAATGCACAGAATTTATTGAACAGCTCAGTGAATTTTGGCAAACATACACTTGTATTACTGTCACCCAGACCAAGATATAGGACCTTTCTGTCATCCTAGAGTTTCTTCAAGTGACATGGTGTTTTGTTTTCTATTTATTTTGGCCTTTTGAAGATGGGAGATAAATGTGAACAGCATTGGTTAGTTGAAATTTACTTTGCTTATTTAATTTCTACCTAGCAATCTGTAAGAAGGAATTTGCATTTGTATGGCAATCTAAATTCCACAATTAATATTACTTAATCTATATAGCAAGATTTATTCAGCCTGTGTTATTCACATAAACCTTTTTATTATGCAGAAATTTAATCTGGGTGTTTTTGTTCTCTTAGGAGACTATGCAAATTGATGAAGATGACAGACCAGAACTAGTCTGGTGGAAGTGTAAGAAGTGGGCACTGCACATTGTAGCTCGTCTGTTTGAACGGTAATTCTCTTTATTAGATTTACGATCTTATGGTCAGTATCTCAGTATTGGATATAATAAAATTGGATAGGCCCCTTGATGGTTCACAGTATATGCTTATTTGTCTTTAGTGCCATAGAGGGTAAAAAGTCACCCTCTGTTTTAAAGTAGGCTTAATTGTGATCACTGACTTTGAGATATAATGAGGTGCTCAGTCTTCTCTGAATCTTTCTACTTTTCTATAAAAAAAATGGGGAAATAACATTATTTAGCTTATTGGAAATATCCAGGAATTGTACAAGAAAGTGCATGACCATTCAGCTCCACAGGAAAGTTAGTCAAATTTAGTTATAGAAGCATTTATTGAAAAAATATGTTAGATATATTTTTATTTGTAATATTTACCCTTTAGGAGATCTTTGTTAATTAAGTAGGTAGAAGTTTCCGTCTGAAATTTTAAGTATGACCAGAGTCAAAGTATACATGATTTCATTTTGGGGCTTGTGAAAGGGAGGGAAGTGTTAGTTTTCTGCCCCAAGAGACTACATCTTTCAACAAGGGGCTGTATTTAAACTAGCGAACATGCTTGTTTTTAAAATGCATGGTATTTAAACATTTTCTCTTTGTCTTTTAAGATATGGAAGCCCAGGAAATGTCACAAAAGAATATTTTGAATTTTCTGAATTCTTTTTGAAAACCTATGCAGTGGGAATTCAGCAGGTAATAAACTTATGCTTTTTAAATAGAAGTAGTTAAGTAATTTCTATCTAGTTAAAAGTAGGGTTACAAACTTTAATACATTGTGTATTTATAGGGGATGAAATGGCAGCTCTGGGAATTTAAGACAGTGCAATTAGTTTTAGAACCAAGTGGCCTAGGACAGCTACTACAAGAAGTGCCCTTCCTGACTCCTAGATGCTGGACTCAAACCTTTTAAGTTTGTTGATACTGGTGCAGCAGTCACCAGTATTAGATTGGATTCTTCTATTAACTTTCTGACCTCTTATGAGTTTCTTAACCTCTCTTTCTTTGAGCCTCACCTCTTTGTTCCAAGCTTTTATAAGGTAAGAGTTAATGGGATACTAATTGATCTATTTCAAGAGGATTGAGCTCAGAAGTTAAGACTTTCAGCTGAGAACTTGTACATTTTTTATGGAAGTTTGGGAACCATTTCTATGCAGTGACAATTAGGTGTTCTTGAGAAAGAATCTAGGTTGATACTAATATTTAAAAAAAACTACAAAGGAAAAGTAGACATGAAGATTGATTGATCCGTATTGCCATTTGAATCGTATTTTTGTTAATATTTCAACAAATAAAATGTAATAACTATTGAGCACTATCTGTCAGGACCCTATTGAGGAGGCAAAGATTGATCAGATATAGTAAAGGGCTTTAATGATATAAAGAGGGTGTTTCTACGTTGGGGCTTCTGTGTTGTAAGTGATACAAAGTTGCCTTTTTAAACCTGTCATCTGAGACGGAATGCTTCCTTTTACAGACTGTCATTTTATGGAGTGCCATTTCTAAAAATTATCTTGTAACAGTTCAGGAGAGCTAAGGCTGTAATTTTGTCACAGATTAGTTTGTTGGCCCTTGAGACAGGCTGTAGGGAAGATGAGTGAGTGGCGGATAACGTGACCGGTCAGCAGTTCACCGGGATGCTGCGTGCTCAGGCCGGTCCGCTTTGCCTTTGTCCTCGCTGCTCGTGCACCCGTGAGCCGCCTCAAGTCCATGCCCCCTGGAAGTGCCTTCGGTGAACTTTTTCCAGTGTCGCATAAACGCACACATGCATTTAAATTTCACACCTTTGTAGCCATGTCGTAAACTACTTGTACCTTAGTTATTGAAGGCATATATTTCTAGTTTTGAGAAATAGTTTTCTCATCAAAAACTGTTCCTTTCTTTACTCTCATGTGCCGTCTGCCTCCACCGCCGAGTGGTATGAGCCCCAACTGTACTGGGAAGAACCTATTCAGTAGCATCCATCTTTAGCCTGCTTTGCTAAAAACTGCACAGGTGATGGCAGGCCTTCTGACAAATTTTATAAACCCGAATTTTACATAACTTGAACTGAATTTATAAATTCTGTAATGTTTTGAAAGAACCCTTTTTATTTATTCAGTTCATTTATAAGCCTGCCATAGTGAGGAGCTCTGGAGAGCAGGGATTAGAAGACTTGGACTTTGTTTTGTTACCTCTGCTGGGGTTTTCGGGACAGTCATGGATGCTTTGGGCATGGTTTCTTCCTTATAAACATTCTCTCTCTTTTTAATCAATCTTTTGAAAAATAACTTCTTGCCTGCCTGGGTGGGGCTCAGCGGTTGAGCGTCGACCTAGGATCCAGGCGATCGGGATTCAATTCCCAGTCAGGGCACATGCCCGGGTTGCGGGCTCGATCAATGACTCTCTCATCATTGATGTTTCTCTCTTTCTCTCTCTCCCTCTCCTTTCCTCTCTCTGAAATCAATAAAGATATATTTAAAAAAAACACAAAACTTCTCAATTTTGTGTTATGTTTATAAAGACTTTCTGTGGTCTGAGATTCTAAAATGAAATTCTTCCATATTCTAGGAATTTTATGCTTTCATTTCTTTTGTTGTTGAATTATTTCCCCATCTGGAATTTATTTTGGTTAGGGAACCAACTTCTTTTTTTTTCAGGGGATTAATCAGAAGTCCCAGTACTATTTTTTGGATAACTTATCATTTCTCTTCCTATTTTAAATGCACTTTTATCAAATATTAAAATCTGTGGTGTCTGTTGCTGTATGGTTGTTTTCAGTGTTCATTTAGTCAAGTTTGTTGTTTTTTTAACAGGATTCTTAACTTATTTGAAGAGCTAGTATATGGAATAGAGTATGAACTTACTCTGAGTAGTTCCACAGGTTAGAAGTAGGACAAATGGCTGGGCATTACAGTGAGACACCGTTCCAATATAACATGGACCTGTCTAATAATTAAAACTGCCCATGTGCTTTCTTTCAAAATATTGACTTCCTTTAACATCTGTTAGTTTTTACCTTTATGCATTCTGGGTTTTAGGTCATGCCTAAAATGCCCCTCCCCTTAACCTTAATATTGTTCATGTTCTCCTATATTTTCTCTTCCTATTTTCCTATAGGTACTACTGAAAATTTTAGACCAGTATAGACAGAAAGAGTACATAGCCCCTCGTGTTCTTCAGCAAGCATTCAACTATCTCAACCAAGGGGTGGTTCACTCTGTAACGTGGAAGCAGATGAAACCGCACATGCAGGTTGGTATCAGGGAGCAGTTCTCCAAAATTATTCAAAATGATAGAAATCAGGTTTTCGCCCAGCTGGCATGGCTCAGTGCTTGAGCACTGACCTATGATCTAGGAGATTTTGGTTCGATTCCCGGTCAGGGCACATGCCCAGGTTGTGGGCTTGACTCCAGCAGGGGCCATGCAGGAGGCAGCCGATCAGTGACTCTGTCTCATCATTGATGTTTCTCTCTCTTCCTCTCCCTTCCTTTCTTTGAAATTAATAAAAACATATTTAAAAAAGAAAAGAAATCAGGTTTTCTAGACAGGTTGGTGTCAGGGACCAGTTCTCCAAAATTATTCAAAATGATGAAGTCAGGTTTTCTAGACAAAGCAAGTGTTACTAATTCCATATTTTATATTGAATATATTTTTATTCCCTTAATAATTACAAATGGGTGCAGTCATATCTGATATGAAGGGCTTGGAAATTTAAGTATTTGAGAAGAGTGAGTACTTCCAAGTTTTTTTAGTTGGAAGACTTGGATTCAGTTGACCTTGTTTAATTGCTTACTTAAGGATAGAATTCCACATTGTTATTTAATTAAAAAATGAGAATGAAAAATTATAGGCCATTAATAAATAAATTCTTATTTGCATGCAGATAATTTTTGGGTAATTCAATAATGTTAGGAACCAATTTTTTTCCTCTCTCAAACTATAAATTCTTAAATTCTGTAATCTATAAGATGGTATCTAAAAAGGAAAATAAATTCTTTTTCTTTGCCTGTGGTGTTCAGGATAAAATTTGTTTAGTGTTATTACAGATCTTAACAAATATAGTATCTTTTGCATTGTTTTCTGTGGATGTCTTAATAATATTTGCCTAATCTCCTTGATCATAGCGGGATCACTTCTTTGCAATTAATAGATACTGATGTCCAGCCTGTGTGGCTCAGTGGTTGAGCATCAACCCATGAACCAAGAGGTCACTGGTTCGATTCCTGGTCAGGGCACATGTCTGGGTTTCAGTTTCAATCCTCAGTGTGGGGTATACAAGAGGTGGCCTGTTGATGATGTATCTCTCTCATCAATGTTTCTGTCTCTCTTTCCCTCTCCCTTCCTCTCTCTCTAAAAATCAATAAAAAAAAAAACCCCACATATGTAAAAAAAGTAGATACTGATTTCATTTTATTTACTGTGTTCCTGTAAAGTAAGGCTGAATTGCAATAGTATTTTTTCTACTTGATGTCTTTGGCCCTAATTTTACATGGCTGAATGTAGGAATAAGAAACTGATCCTTAGGCTGAATTTTTTGCTCTTAGAAATATTCCATTCATTTAAGAGATGATTCTGTCTTTTTTTTTTTTTTTAATCCTCCCCCAAGGACATACTTACTGAATTTGGGGGGCGGGGAGGGGGGAGAGAGAGAGAGAAAGAAAAAGAGAAACATCGATAGGTTGCGCTCTGACCAAGGATTGAACTCGAGACTTAGGTATGTGCCCTGACCGGGAATCAACCCACCACCTTTTGGTGTACGGGACAGGAGCCACGGTGGCCAGGGCGAGATGGTTCTGTTTTTACATAAGTAATTGTTGGAGCACAAAAGGGCTTAGGACAGTGTACATACACTTAGCAGCAACGTACATACAGGTGTGGCTTTACTTTTCCCCCTGAAACCTGCATGCGTAGAGTAGGAAATTAGGTTTTTGAAAATGGAGGAAGAAAAGAAAATTTTAATACTATGCTGAAAATTTTAATGCTATGTTGACATTTAGAACCAAAACAGACAGGTAAAAATGTTCATAAAAGGAAAAATAACAGTAAATATAACCTTCGACTAATATTTATTTCTCCTTAAAGAGTCAAGTTATGCTTAATGCTGATTTGTTAGTGAAACTTTATTATCCTTTCTATTGCTTCAAAGAATAGCATTTACATTCATCTCTTTCTCTGTTTCTTTAATCAGTTGTTGTTTAAAAACAGTCTTACGTTTAACCCACC